TAATTAGAATTCTGATTTGAATATATTTTCCACTCGTTGTTTCTAATACAAAAAATATTAACTTTATTTGGGTTTATTAATTTATTACAAGTACTGTGTTCTTTCCTTAATAATCTTCGAAATATTGTTGTTTTTTGTCTATCAGATTTCTTACGTCGGCATTTTTAAATAATTTCTTAATACTTTCTTTTAAATATTGAATTAATTTCAAATAGAACCAATGCCTTATTGATCTGCCTTGTAACAAATTGCAAAGGGAATTGTAAAAACGGCCCTAAAGTACGTGGAATTATCTTTCCCTAAAGATAAAGAATTATCCGATTTTTCGATTCGTACAATCAGTAGAGATCGTTAGATTATTGTTTAGGTTGACGGACACGCATGTCTTAGTTTTTTTTTTTTACGAATTGGTCAAACCCAAACTCAAACAAAAACATTGTTTTCAATCGTTATGATGAATTTTGATTGAATAGAATTAGATTAGAATTTTATTATAAACAATTGTCTTGTAAATGGAATTTTTAAAGCATTCTGAATGTATAAATAAAGAAAAAATTGTGCAAGACAATAAGAAACACTACCTGCCAAAAAAAAAAAAAAGTGAATGTTTGTTTTATCGGCTGAAAAATGTAAGAAATCCGATCCCATATATAAAAGAACACACACACACACACACACACACACACACACACACACACACACACACACACACACACACAACCTGTTTTTTTTTAACCTGATGTGAGTTGTCCCCCTTTCATTCTCACGATGTGTCTTAATCGTGTTTTCAAATTGATTTTGTTAAAAAAACAATTATATTTTTCCCATTTTCGGCGCCGTTAGAACCACCACAAGGTAATTTTATGTAGTCCTGTGAAGTTTTGTTGAAATCGGCTAAAAATGTAGGAAATCCGATCCAATATATAAACGTTACAGACACACACACACACACACAATCTGCGTTTTATAATAAGTAAGATATATATATATATATATATATATATATATATATATATATATATATATATATAATATATAGAAAAAAAAAAGATATATAATCCGGTGTTCTTATTGATATTTTTATTTTTTACAAAACAGTGCTTAATGTAAATTTACAGAGCTTATTATAAATTATTATTATAAATATTATGAATTAACTGATTTAAAATATGTTTTTTTTGCTATACAGTAATAACCATGTTTCAAATATATATATATATATATATATATATATATATATATATATATATATATTATTATTATTATTATTATTATTAATATAAATAAAAGGTTTGCCACTGAGTTGATTGATGTTACCTTCAGCCTCCTGACTACAGAGCTTCGTAGACGGACCCGTCCGTCCACTCGTCAGGGGTATCAGCAATTATTCATATGCTCTTTCTCTCTCTCTCTCTCTCTCTCTCTCACACACACACACATATATATAAATTGAGATCAAATATGGATTAGAATCAGATAGAATGATAGGATAAGGTTAGGAAATTTTTAGAAAATGTTTTGCTTTTATTTAAGCTTCATCATAATATGGTAGAGAAAAGAAAATTCTGCTATTTTTATTTTAGTGTTGTCAGCTCTTTATTGGTTAAACAAACCTGACATGTATTTGTGTTGTTAGGAAAGCGTTCGTGAGTTATATATATATATATATATATATATATATATATATATATATATATATATATATATATATATAGATAGATAATATTAGTGGTAAATATACACATACATATGCAAAATATATAGATATATATACATAGGTGCATACACATACATGTATATTTTTGAATAAAAATTTGAGAGGATAGAATCCAGGTAGAATTCAATGTCCAGGACGGAATAAGGACATAATAAAAAGGCTTAAACACTAATATCCCATGGTCATAATTTATTCCATTGGAATCGTAAATACGATCCAATTCATCAGACCTACAAATTCAAAAAAGAAAACAGAAATATATATATATATATATATATATATATATATATATATATATATATATATATATATATATATATATACATACGAGGCACGGTGGAGTAATGGATATCGGCTTGGATTGAGGAATCGCAGAGCCGAGGTTGAATCCATTACATTCACTTACGTGCTAATACCCTTGGGAAAGGTGTGAATCCTCTTCTTCTCCCTCCAACTATGGGTAAAATAGCAGGACAGACTGGGTTCTATAGCCTTGGATGGCCACTGGTCTAGGAGAAGGACAACTCTGAATTCAAAACCTGCGGAGGGTCGTTTGGGGACCTTGTGGCACGTAGTGTACCAGGTCTCTGTATTCGGCCCTTCAAAAAGTGTGGATGGTCCTGCACGAAACCTTCACCACTATAATCGAATCTCATGTGCCGGTGTCGGGCTGTCAGTTTCCTGGAAACTGATCTGCTTGACCCTCATACGTCGAACTCGACGGCAGAATCGATATATATATATATATATATATATATATATATATATATATATATATATATATTCCATTTATTTATAATAATAATAATAATAATTATTATTATTATTATCATCATTATGATTATTACTACGCTTTTTGAAGGGATCTTTTTTATTAATATTAATGCACTTATATGTAAAGAGCATTTACTCTTTTTAAAAAGGCCTTTAGATGATATTTTTATTTTAGATGAAAACAAAAAAGAAATTGATAATCTCAAAATCATATTCGAAAACAACTCTCGTTAACTTTACCTATGAACTTAGCCAAAAAATATACTACACTTCTCGAGGAATTCACTAGTAACACATTCATTACATACAAAAAAGCCACTAGTAGAAACTATTGCCACGTTAATTTTATGAGTGAATGTCCACTTAGATATAAAATAGGCGTGCGGCAATAAATAACATAATCAAAAGAGGTCTGGCTGCAGCTGGGTTCTCTTCCCAAATCGAACCCGTGGGCCTCGACCGTGGTGATGGAAAGCGGTCGGATGGCATTACCATTTTCCCCTTTAAGATAGGGAAGTCGTTGATTTGTGATGCGACCTGTGCCGATACATATTCGACCAATAATTTGGTCAGGTCCGCGGTTGATCTTGGGTCTGTCGCACGGGACGCGGAGATCAAAAAATAGTTAAATATTCTTCTCTTGCTGACAGATTTTTTTTTTACTCCTGTAGCAGTAGAGACTTCTTGGCTTATTGGCCTGGTTCGATGGCGTTCCTTCAGAAGGTGGCCGGGATGGTGTCTCGGTTAAGGGACCGTGTAAGGGACTTGCAGCCTGTCTCACTGGCGATGGTGCGAGGTAATGCTTTCTCTATCATTGCAGCTAGCAGAGGATAACAAAAAAAACAAAAAAAAAACAAAAAAAATTTCTTTATAAATAGGCGTTATAAAATATTTCCTTAAGAGAGCGTACGAGAATTCATCCTCTTGTTCCGTTTTCCTTAAAGAACTGAATAATGTGAAACAGACGCTATAAGATTATTTCTAAGGTAACCAATCGCAATACTGAATATACAGATAAAAACAATAATATTAACATGTTTTATAAAAGTTATCTATAAGTAAGTTGAATTTTCTCTTAGAAATATTATAAATAAACACACAACTCCAGTCGAGAAGAACAAGAAAAGTAAATTATCTACTATAAAAAATTTAAAACAACTAACCTTATTATCAACAATAACAACACCTTCAGATCTAAATTACAGAGAACGATTATTATATCTGAATTCACATGCCCTTTAAGGAACTACCTTCCTTATCAAACTAAATTGATGAATAATTATATTGGACATACCACTACATGCCCACCAAGAAAACACACATTACACATCTCTGACCATAGCTCAATTAGGACACATTTAAATAGACACGTAAACCTACCAAGGTCCACCAGCAACATACTTGTAGAAAATACAAGTATAATAGTCTCGTCCACATGTAAAAAAGACTAAAAAAATGATTGAACTAGTAATAAAAAAAGAAAAAAGCCAACAATGAATAACCTCAACTTTGAACACGACCACAAAATGATGACCATGTTTAGAAAATTATAAAACATTCCCATCACTCTAGAAACATAAAAAAATCTACGCATTAAATTCAAAATAAAAAAATTAAAAACAAAACTCCTTGATAATGGCTAATAGAATAGCCGAAAGCGTTGAGATATACAGAACATTTTTACAAGTTTTACACACATTATTTCCAGAAAAGAAAACGTTTTTACGAACACAAGAAAAATTAAATAAAAAGCTTAATCACAGTACTTAGCTATCTTTAATGAAACATATATATATATATATATATATATATATATATATATATATATATGTACAAAACAGATTATGGCATAGTCACACGTCTCTCGACCTCAATTTAAATATTATTAATAACTCCTTTTGCATTTAAGCAGCGGAGATGGCGTGTTAAAAGTGTTCAAAAATCAGAAGTAAGTCAACCGGCCGCGTACAACACGTGACCACCCAAAAAGCAACATACTTGATAATATAGAACTATCCGAAAATTTCTAGATTCTTTCACTCCCGAGAAACGGAAAAAATGTTAAATTAATGTTCAATTAAATCTTTCTCGGCCAATGATTGAAAAAGAAAGGTTGCTCCCTAAAATATACATACATCTATCTATCTATCTATCTATCTATCTATCTATCTATGTTAACTACAAATATATAGTATATATATATATATATATATATATATATATATATATATATATATATATATATATATATATATATACTATTTATTTGTAGTTAACTTATATATCTTATTTTAATTTACTATCTCATTTGAAGTGAATTAATAAGCACTTCTCATACTCTATTCTCTCACTTCCCTCGAAAGAGGAACTTATACACACACTTCTTCTTCTTCTTCTTCTTCTTCTTTAGTTTTCACGCGACATCGACCGTATAATATTCTTCACAATAGTTGAAAGATCACAACTTCGTTTTATTACTTCTTGTCATATAAACTCGTTCACCCGTCCACTATGGCGGGACGATAGATAGATAGATAGATAGAGAGAGAGAGAGAGAGAGAGAGGAGAGGGGGGACAGAGGGAGAAAGAGATAGAGGTAGGAGTTGCATGTGGCCTTTCTTTTAATCTTACCGTCATCATCACGCTGCGCTTTTAATGCTATACGCATATCTGTGACGCATCATTATTCTTGCTATTATTAATTCGCCTTTTCCTACCAAGGATAGTGTCATTCTTGTTTCTAGGGATAGAGCGACAGAAAGTCACATAATGTATTCCACACCTTCATCGCTTCTTCTTCATTCCTGTGCCATATCACTTAATGACGTAGGAGATCATGGCTCTCTACAATGTCCTGTCCTTTGTTGCTCTCAAGTTCCCCTTTAACATTCCTCATCATCCTTTTCCATCCAGTCACCCACACTCGATAAGTAGGCTGCCCTGCTGTTTTCCGTGCATCTCTTGCTTTCAATATATCTTAGGTGTATTAAATTCTCCCAACCCTCCTTCCTCCGTTATGTTTCCCAAAATGTTTAGCTGTTTTCTTTCCGATTGTAAGTATCAGCTTCCTTGCTGTTTCTAATCATCTTAAAAGTTCCTCTTTGCTTAAATGTTCTTTCAATGGTATTTTTAGCATTTGTCAGAAGACATCTCTATCGCTCCAATTTTTTCTTCAGTTAAGAGTAGATTATCCAAAACTGACTGCCTCTGTTCTGCCATCCATTCACACAAGCTAGTTAGGTAGGTTACTCATTCTTTTCAACTGATTCTCTTGCCGTCAATATGTCTTGTGAGTGTTAAATTCTCTATGCCTTTCTTTCCTCGTCATATGTCCTAGAAATTTCAGCTGACTCTTTCCTTGTTCTAATTTTCCTTGAGACTCCCTTGTTACCCAAATGTTCTCTCAATGGTATTTTTTTTTACCATTCGTCAGTAGAACCACATCTCTAACACTTCAATTCTTTCTTCCTGAGGAGTAGATTGTCCATATACACAAACTAATTAAATAGATTACTCGTTGTTTTGCTCTGCATCTCTTGCCTTCTGATATTCTGTGATTACAAAGTTATTTCGAGCCCTTATTCGCATTATGCGACCCAGAAATTTAAATCTAATAAGGGTATAGCGAGCACATGCCTCACAGCAAATTAGTAATAGGTTTTTGATAAAAGCAGCGATTAATCTTATAGGCGTGGCCCAGTTATAAATACTTTCAGATCGGGTAACCCATTCCTGTGGGAAGGTATCCGATTGTGGCTATTCCCAATTATGTAGTTGTGACACCCAAGTCGTCTTTGTTGACTCATCTTTCAAACAATCATTTCGAATTCCAGCCATAATGTCTCCTCCCCAATGCTACAGTTCACGAAAAGAGATGCACAGTATGACAGAGCCTAAGTTAGAAGCTGAACTTGTTAATGTGAGGCAACTGACAAGAAAATCCGCAGTACTGAACGGGATATTTGCGGTAGTTCATCTTCATTCACCAAGACAAAATATGTACTTGTTAAACGCTCCAATCAATGTAGATCAGAAGCCATGCAAGCTATACCTGTCATTGCATTTATTATTGTTCCTGTACGCTCACCGAAATTAAGCAACGTCGAGCCTGGTCACTACCTAGATGGGTGACCACTTAGGAATACCAGGTGCTGTAAGCTTGGATGTGCTGGCGGTGTAATGGCTTGGAATTGTTAATCAGAGAATTGAGTTTTAATTTCAGTCGGGTTCATTATATTCACTTACGAACAAATACACTTGGAAAAGGTATGAATCCACCAGTTCTCTCCCCAGCTATAGGTTAATTAGTAAGACTTGTATCATTAATATCTAAAATATATTTTGGCTTACGGCCACATCATGTTGAAAAACCGGTTATGATACGATCACCGAAGTTAAGCAACGTCGACCCTGGTCAGTAGCTAGTTGGGTGACCGTTTGGGAATACCGGGTGCAGTAAGCTTGGATGTGTTGGTGGTGTAATGGATAATTGCTAGGAATTGTTAATTGGGGAGCCGGGTTCCAATTCCAGTTCCATTATATTCACTTAAATGCATGTACACTTGAGAAAGGTATGAATCCACCTATTCTCTCCCCGCTATGGGTTAATTAGTAAAATTATATCGAGGGAAACTCGAACGATCCATTTCTTGATCGAATAGTGATTTGTATTGATCCTTTCATAGCAATCATAAACGATCAGCTCAATTGCTGCGAAGGACTAAAACACTTTCTAAAATCTAAATTGTACTAAACAGAAGATTATGAAAAATATTTGGTGACAGATTTCGCCAATCTAACCAGAGCATCATTGCCGAGGTTTACTGCCAGCAATTGGATGAAATTCAGTTAAGCAAAATGGGACCGGCACTGGTTATTCGACAATGTCTAATCCTGCTTCTCGAAAGTGATCGGCTTGATCTCTCGCCCATTGAGTACCGCTTTTTTTTTTCAAGCGAAAAGACATTCCGTTGCAAAGTAGATGCAGAGAATGCATTCAACGATTTCTTGGCATCCAAACCATTAGAAATTTATCGCAAAGGCGACCTTGTATCTCAATGGAAGAAATGTATGTTCATTGTTCCTATTTTTGACTGATTTAAACGTTATTTAAATACATTAATTCGAGAATAAAAGTTGATTCTAAAATTGGACATTATTTTCCGAACAACCTAGTATTTTGCATTAAATACGAACACAAAATAAGCAGATGTCGTTAACAAACATATTCTCGAGGAATATGAATGCCTATTTCTTTCCCGTTTGTTCTTTATTTTGTCCACTGCACAGTATAGTAGGGTCAGTTGGGTACCGTCTGGGAGAAAAAAAAAGCACCTTGACGCAATTCACTCTGCCAGAAATTTGGAAACGGCATGCTGTGCTGCTTGGCATTCGCACCAGAAGCTATAATACGAACATTTCAAAGTGTCTGGTTGTCAAACTGAGGACAGTGCAGAGGATGATGAGTCTAATGGTGATTGCGAATGTGATTCGAGTAATCACTAGTGATGGAGACGTTATGCCTTCATTCATCTTCCCACAGGGCCTCAGACTTAACATAGAGGCCTACATCAGGTGCAATGAGGAGGTAGGACTGCCCTGGCTCAAGAGGGTGACTCCTGGAAGACCCTATGTGAACAGGACTCTGCACCATTTCACGCAAGCAGGAGAACCCAATCATGGCTGTCAGACAATTTCTGCAACTACATCACCCCTTACATCTATTTGGATTTTTGGGTACCCTGGTGTACTAGTGAGCCAGCCAAAATGAGCTGACTCATTTTATAGTTCACCAATAGAAGGGTTAACCAATCAGAAGGCTCAAAATATTCAATGCGACGTGTATAAAGGCGGCCATGATGCTCCCGAATATGCGCTGCCAGCCTTTGATATCGAAGACTGAAGAATTACGGAACAGCTGCCGTTGGTATTGGCGATATAGTCAGATTCAGTAGTGTCTGACTCGTGAGTGTTAATTTTTAACGTTGTTTCATTGAACACATTACATACTGCGCTGTATTCTATATTCATAGATTATGGTAAACATGGTCAACAACATCTGGCCACCTAACTCATCAGACTGCAAGCCTTTAATTATTATGTGTGGGGTACAGATGAGAGAGAGAGAGAGAGGGGGGAGAGAGAGAGAGGAGAGCGAGAGAGAGAGAGACCAATAAAACTGCTTGTAACACCAAAGATGAACTGAAGGTAAGGATTATGGAAGTATTCCCCAATTTAAACAAGGAGATAGTCCAGAAGAAATTCGGAAATCGTCTGAAGGCCGTGGTTGAAGACAATGGTGATTTTATTGAAGAAAGCTTATTATCTAGTGTTTGAAGATCTTTTTATGTAATTCTAGTAAATATATCTGTTAAAATGAGATATCAGTGTTATTTCCATTTCTTGAATAATTTAGACAATTTATCTATCGCACCCTGTATATTGTGTTTACTTACTTTCACTAGATTAGACCTTCACCGCTAAGATCCAAAAAAAACCGAATCAAGTAAGATTTTGCAGTTCCTAAAAAGAATATTGGCCTTTATAATAGAAAACAGGTTTATGGTCTATTTCTCTACGGTTTATACTTGGCAAAGTCCTGCAATATATTTCTTTAAAGAAAAGGTTTATTACAATTTATTTTTATGATTTAATTTGATTTTCCTTATGAGTTATTTAATGCCGAAATCTAATTTTCTTGTGGGCTTTGATATAATAAAAATATGATATATGTTATTCTGCTTTCTCAGTTGAATACATGGTAGATGATACTCAGATTTTGTGCATATACATGTTTGTATGGACATAATTACTAGAGGCGGTGGTATGTGGGTTTTATGTTGCAATTATATTTTGGAATACAGTTCGATTTCTTCAAGAAATTGTAGGATATTATATGGACAAATTTCATGAAAGAGTTCTTTCATTTTGATTGTTTGGTTAGTTGATCCTATTAAGCGGCATATCAACCTCTATGGGTTATTTAATGCCAAAATCGAAATATTTTGAACACAATTTTATGCCTTCCACTAAATATATTCATTAAAATTGTACTGTTGGTAATTTTATTATAAATAAGTATTGTTTGTAATTTTACCATAAATATGTATTGTTGGCATTTTTTCATATAAAAAAGTATTTTTATACTTTCATAATATTTTGTATTTCTTTGGTTGTTCACTATTTGCTCATATCTGGGACCCTAACAGGTGCTACCACACCAGGTCAGAATGAACCCGGAAACTGCAATTAAGAGGTGGTTCCCTGCTCCTGAAAACCTCCAATCTCCCGATCTTGCTGTTGGATGTAGTTTATCGTCATACCCAGGATTATATTTTTATGAAAGTTATATCTGGAAAAGCCATTGTTATATAATTTATATTTTATCTTCAAAATTGTTAATACAATATTTATTCGAAAAAAAAAAAAAGAATTATTCATATACAATTCAAAAATACGTTTCGGCTTTAAATAACCCAGGCATGATTGATAAGCCGTAAAACAAAGCAATCACTAAAGTCTTAACTTCTTCAAGTGTAGGCCCATCGCTATCTACTCTTAACAACCTCATGTAGTATATCTCTACTTTGAGTGGTTCTTGAGCATTTTATTGGGTGAACAGCAGTTAAAAAAATATTATAGATATATTTACTGAGCTATTGTACAAAATACATAAGAATCTGGTGGAGATTAAACTCGGCGTGCTAGCAATGACCAAATGGGGCGAGTTTGCGAGTAAGCATTCTATAACAGGCGTCTCTGGAAATTAATTTAACCGTGCTATAAACATGTCTTGAAATTGTAAGTTTCTTTTTAAGAACATTCAAAAGGAAAATAATTTTTAACTAGGAAATAAAAGAATAATGTCTTGTTTTTATTTATTTAGTTTTTTGATAATTTAAATGTATTTATTGAAGGCGCCATCGGATTTCAAAGTATATAAATAACAAATTGAATTAACATATTTATTTTTATTTTTACTTTGGTATACGGTTTCTTTTCGTTCGTTTCTCGAAGGATTTCAACAATTTAAAAAAAAAACCAAAAACCAAAAAAAAAAAAAACCCAAAAAACAAAAAAGCAAAACAAAACTGGAAGAGTTATGTGAATTTTGAAATTAGATCGGGATGTTTCGGAAAGCTGTGAAATTTCTTTCGATTCGACCAAGTTTTCAGTTGAAAACGACCAGACTTGGGAAAATCACGTTGGAAAATACAAAAGACAGATTAATGAAAGCTGGAATTACGCGTCAAATATGGCTGACATAATTTAAGAGCTAAGGAAAAAGCAACAACAACAAGCTAACAGAAGCAGGAATATTTGAAACGGTTAGAAAGGTACAAGAAAATTCACAGACAAACATGAGCATTCCTAGATACACACACGAATACACACACACACACACGCATACGCACGCGCGCGCACACACACACATATATATATATAAATTATTAGGAGGATTTGAGATAATCATAATTAAGTAATTCATCGAGTCTAGAAAAAACCTCAACAGAATGGACGGCCGTTTCGTCCTATATTTGGGACTCACCAGCAGTGCGCATCCACTACCGGGAACTGAACCCGTTAGGATACGACGCAAGTGTCATACCAACTGTACCAAGGGGCCTCGGTAACGAAGAGGTAACGAATTAGACTCTATATAGCACCGCACCTCACAAATTCCGTGGTGTAACTCATCCGAGTTTTCCTTATCCATAGGACTGTGCCCCTACGAGCCACGATTTCTATTCCTAAGCCGCTCCATCCAGAGCATTAGAAGCCGGTTCAAGCAAGGATATACAAGTGATAGAAATTATTAGGAGGATTTGAGATAATCAATTAATATTATTAATTAATAATTAAATAATTGATCGTCTAGAAGAAACCTCAACAGAATGCAGAAAGCACTGGACAGCCGTTTCAATTCTCGGTAGTGGATGCGCACTGCTGATAAGTCCCAAATATAGGACGAAAAGGCCCTCCATTGCTTTCTGCATTCTGTTGAGGTTTCTGCTAGACTCGATGAATTGTTTAATTATGATATATATATATATATATATATATATATATATATATATATATATATATATATATATATACTTGTTTACCCTGTAGGGATGTAAAAGGCGATTACGTTTTGTGGGAAAATGAATTCACGAAGGTTACGTGACTGCCGGTAAGTGATGTCAGTTCGTAGAATGACGAACCCCAGTTGCTACGTAGATAGCAGTGAAGCAAGACATGACTGCCCACAGTAGTTAAGAGAATCAAATGGTATATGTTTTTCCTTCGAGAAATATTACAAGTAAGACCCTCTCACTTTTCGCCCCTTTCACACTGCTTGTTATATTGCATATGTTAGAATTTTTCTGTGTGGGACAAATAGTGACAGGTATATATAAATTTGTATAAAGTCTTATATACGTAGCGGTATAAAAAAATCTATTTAAGAACAATATATGTTTGTCATAACTTTCTTTCCGTTATTCTATTCTGTCCGTGTCATTAAAGTGTTAGTGTATCACGGATATACTAATGCCTATAATGAGGAAATTCAAACAGGAAATACACTTTTTTTTTCTAGCACTTCCATTAACTCATTCTATAAAATAAATGACAGGCTTTTAAATCCATGTTTTTAATTTTTATTGTTGTACCGAATAACGAAATCGGTCGTATCAACTTTTGGATTCATAAACATTTGAAATAAACCAGCATCACCATAAGACAGATAATGCGATAAAAAAAGAATAAAAAATAACAAAAAAATATAACGCCTTCTTTTCGTCTTCATTAGCTCAACAGATTTAGAAGTAGGCTTCACTTGGCGCACCACTGTCATATTCTACGAGAGCAGATTGACCAAGAAAATAGATAACAGACAACAATATGTTTGGCTCAACAGAAACCTCACAATACACAAAAGTAAAGTTTTCGAAACAAACATACTGCAGTCCTTAGATATGCCACTAAAATCTCACATTAGCACTTACAGCTAAGTGAACGGTAACATCAGCGTTGCTTCCATACCGTTCTAAAAGTACACTGGAATAACTTCAGCACTGACACTGAAAACTCACCTGCCTGCGGTGGGTTTGCTACGGGATGAGGATAGAGGGCATCCACATTTCAAACACCATCCTATTCAGAAAAATGGTCTTTGGCAGACGGAAAAACGGGGTTTTGTTGAAGACATATGAGGTTTCCTTAAAAAGACCATCGTCAACTGTGGACTCGCCTACCTTTAAGCGAAGCAAAGGTAGAGTACATGGCTACTTGGATGTATAGGATCTATCAGACAATCGAACTCTCTGAAGTAAACTACAGAAAAAGAAGTGAAGAAACAGCTATGCCCGGAGTTATCACCGGTTGCTAAATCTTCTCCAGCGGTCTTTGTGGAAAAACATACTTCTGTCATATAAGCCTAAAAAAACATGCGGGAACATATAATGGAGATAGATACTTTCTACATATCTTCCTTAGAGAAATCAGACCATGAATACAAAGAATAAAACTATCAGAAAGAAGGAATAATACAGAGAGGAATATAAAGAAGATACTCGAGAATGAACTCAAACAAGATGATAAAGAAGAAGTTATAGATGAAAGAATCAGAGGAAGAAAAAGAAGGAGGAGAACACAAAGAAGAAGAAGAAGTTATAGAGGAAGAATATAGAGAAGATAAAATGAAGAAAACGAAACAGAAGAGGATGAAGAAGTTATGGAGAAGGAATAAAAGTAGAAGATGAAGAAATGGCGGAATATAAGGAAGATACGCGTGAAAAGAAGCAGAGGTAGAAAGAATGACGACGATGATGATGACGATGATGATGATGATGATGATGATGACGATGACGATGACAATGACGATGATGATGATGGAGGAAGAAGTGATAGAGAAAGAAAGAAAGAGAAGAAATGAATATATTGAAGGATAAAAGAAAGATTATTGAAGAAGAAAACAAGTGATAAAGAGAATATATTGAAGGATAAATAAAAGATTACTGAAGTAGAAGAAGAAGAAGAAGAAGAAGAAGAAGAAGAAGAAGAAGAAGAAGAAGAAGAAGAGCATAATAATAATAATATTAATATTAATAATAATAATAATAATATTAATATTAATAATAATAATAATAAGAAGAAGAAGATGAAGAAAAAGAAGGAGAAAAAGGAAAAGGAGAAGAATGGTGGATAAGAAGTAGAGAGATGATGACAGAAGTAAAAGGCTTGAAATTGGGAGAAAATTGTATTAAATTAAAAATAGCGAAACGAAACAGGAAAAGAAAGAATGGTGAAAAACAGAACATAGGAAAGTATATTGGCATTGTTAGAAAAACAAACAAACATGATGATGGAAGCAAATCTATTCGGGAGAGAAAGAAAAAAAAAAGAATATACTAAAAGAAAGCAAGAATATTTCGCGTTGTTTACAGAGAAACGCTTCTTTCCTAAACCAAACTGGCAGCAAGATAAAGTGGGGGTATTTTCAAGTTACAAAAACTTGTCGGGCATATTTAATTTGAAAAAAAAAAAAAAAAAAAAAAGAATGTTAACTCTTGCTTATTATCTTAATGATCTTTTTTTGATTTAAAAGAGGGTGAAAAAAATGGCGTTGCTTTAGAACAACTCGGGAAAACTTCGGAGAATGTTGAAAATTGTAAAAAGGGAGACAACGCTGTGATGAAACTTAGATAATGACGGAAACAGAAAAAAAAGAAAAATGGGAGACTGGACCGACGAACGAAAACAGCAAAGAAAGAGAAAAGTAAGATAAAAAGAGAGGAAAAAAGAAGAACAAAGAAAAGAAGGAAGTTATGGAAAGAGTGAGAAGAGAGAGTTAAATTAAGAATAAAAGGAGAAAAGAAATGGGAAAATTAAAAACAGAAAGAGAGAACGATAGATAGAAAGAAATAGAGATTAATGAAAGCGAGAAAGGACAGAAGAAAAAAATGAAAAGAAGGAAAGAAAGGAAGAGTATAAAAGAAAAAGAAAAGAAAATACGAAAAAAGAAAACCTAAAACTGGAAAGGAAATAGAAAAGGCGCAAACAATAAACATACTAATTAAGACATGAATTGAATGAGAGTGAGGCAGAGACAAAAAGAGAGGAGAAAATAATGTTATGAAATAGAAGGGAAGTGGTGAAAAGAGAAAGAAAGAAAATGATAGAGAGAGAAAGGGATAAAGAGATGGGAAGAGAGAAAAATGATAGACTTGAGAAAGAGAGAGAGAGAGAGAGAGAGAGAGAAGGAGAGAGAGAGAGAGAGATACGATTGGAAAAAAAGAAATCCTTCATATGAAACAAACTTACAAACAGAATATCCGAAGAAAACGAGAAGAATGAAAAAAACAGCGAAAGACAAACGGAAGAAAAGATAAAAAAGAAAAAAGGAAAAATTGGAAGAAAATAGAATAAAACTAAAACGAAAGAGAAAAATAGAAATAGAAGAGAAAATGCTGAACAAAGAAAATGGTAAAAAAGAAAGTGACAGCATAAAAAAGAAAGAAAACAAGAACAAATAAACAAAAGAAAGAAAGAGAGAAAGAAAGAAAGAGAGACAGAGAAAGTAGAGCCATGTCTACTGAAGAAAAAGGTGGAAAAATAGAAAGAGCTAAAACAATATAGAAAATGATAAAAAAAAAAAAGAAGCGAGAAAGAAAATAAGAAAAGAAAGAAAAAAGATAAGAGAATGAAAAAAAGATGAATGAAAAACATAAAAGTTAGAAGACAGTAGGACAAAACTTCACAGCCGTTTTTTTTCTTCTTTTCAAATTGTCTGTTCAAAATTTAGTTCGTATTTCTTCAGGGGTAAAAATAAGATAAATCCCTGATCAAAGCGAATGCCGATCGGCCAGTTTAGTCAAGTTGTCTTCAAAAGACCCTGAATGACAGGACAGCTATATGCGAGCGATTGGGCGCCCAGTACAAAGCTATAGATTGAAACCTAAGGGAAACTTTGTCGAAAATATTTCAGAAGATAAAAAAACAACAATGGACGTGGTCGTGAATAATAATAAAAAAGATGTGTGGCTGTTTGTCAGGAAGAGTTGGGTGTCGAAGGAGAGGAAGTTAGAAAAACTAGAAAAAATGTCGAAGAAATGAAAAGAAATTATTGAATATTAAGCTATCGTCCAAAACGAACTAATAAAATTATTATTGATGTTATGTTATTGAAGAGAATTATGGTTTTAAAAAGGAAAAAAAAAAGAATCTGTGTGTACTGGAGCATTTGTTTTGAAGTGAATATTATCGTTTTGATGTGAACGAGTTGGAGACAATTAGAAGCGAAAGATATTGCATTCAACAACATTACAATGGACAAATATTCGGGGAAATTGGGAGAATTATCTTTGTGTTTCTCACCGCCTTTTCATATATACAAATCTATTTTCTCTGTCTATCTATCTATCTATCTATCTATCTATCTATCTATCTATCTATCTATCTATCTATCTATCTATCTATCTAGGTTATAAGTGCTCATATAACCGAGAGAGTAGAAGTGCCCATTTAAACCAAAAATATTACAACACTATTGATGCCTGTGTGCAACGACGCATACAAAACAGGCAATCGTTGCCGGTCATGCGAACGCAGAATATTATTACATACATGCATATCTATCTATCTATCTATCTATCTATCTATCTATCTATCTATCTATCTATCTATCTATCTGTGTGTGCGCGCGCCCGTGTGTGAGTGTATGTGTGTTATATCTTTTATTATACCTTGACAGTGTTGGTGACCACACTTGCAACGTTCCTTATACTTTTCCTTACAGACCGCTGTGCTTTGTTGTGTAATACCATTGAAGAGATTGCGAAAAGGCATGAATAAACTCTCCCAATGTTCTTTTCTCCGCTATACGAAGAAAGACTGCACGTTATGCAAATTAAATGATCATTGTGATTTCCTAACGTTCGAATCGATTTTTACTCTTGGACGAATGACAATCTACAGGCTGGTCCGAAAGACTTGTCATCTTTACACAATATATTTTCTATTTCAGATGGCTGACACGAGCTCCTACAGTTTGGAAGAGAGGTAGAGCGTGACAAAACTTTTGGACCACCCTATATATCAAATCAGTTTCGTAGCTCAAAAATGATCATTTTCATAGAATAAATTTTTTCTGTGACTTTTCCAGGAAAATAAATGAGTAGGAAGGGTTGAAATAAGAGGGGGTTGAGTTTTTTCTAAGCAATTAGTAAGCAAAGCCAAGTGTAAAATTATTACTGATTTCATGAGAGTAGACAGTTTTTTACCCAATTACCAAGGATACTCTTATAATAATAATAATAATAATAATAATAATAATAATAATAAAGTGAACATTATAATAAACTATTTTAATGAAGAATACGATACTGCAGGCCGATCACCATGCAGCTGTTCTAAAAAAAATCTGATGTTTGGTAGTTGGTTGACAGTGTTGTGGTAGACAATTCTTCTCACCAGAATCTGTCATACACCATTATAAGTCTACCATTCACGCGTGTATTGAATATTGTTATCACACGTCAGGTTTGGTATTCTTCTGTGTATCTAGAGATTCTTGACAAAATCTAAAGAAGAATCTGCAATGTTATCGGTCCAGACCTTGCATCTTGGCTTCAACGATTTTCTCATCGCTCTGCACTTTTTTAAATAAATATTTTCATGGTCATTGTCCTTTGGTGTTTCATTTTTAAATTGCGTTATTTTTATTCCTCCCCACAGACAAATTGTACACATGGGTTCTAGTTAGAACTACATAGAGACTTTGAGGTATTATGGTGATTGTAGTAAGAATGGTAAGCAAAATGTATTGCTTTGGTGTAAGGAATACTGTGGTATGTTTGGGTCAGTAATGGTGGGTAGCTAAGTTAAAGATAAGACAGATTGAAGACCAGCCTTCCCCTATCACCCTCTTGGCCTTGTGTCACATGTTTGTATTTTTCAAAATAAATATTGCTTTCTCATTTGGTAATTCGACCTTTATTGGCAGCTAGGACTCATTTTACTATTGAAATTGCAAGATATAACTGTATGTTTTATTTTAAAAGATTCTTCTCTCGCACTTCTCGCCCGTGAAACTTTTTTCCGACTTTTTGCGTTCCTGTCGATCTTCAAAAAATTAAATGTAAAGTTAATCCTTATATTCTGCCTTTATGAAAACTGTTCTTTTATTGTCCTTTCTATAACGTTTTCTTATATTCTTTCACTCTCAGTAACCCGTTGCGTTTTATCGCCTTGATTGGCGTGAAATGATTAAATGAAAAAAGAAATATGGTCAAGTTTTGAAAAGTGGGTTAAACTGAAAAATTCTCCCGCAGCAACTCGTAAATCTTATAATAAAGTTGCAAACATAAACAGTCAGAAGAAGCGATTCAACGCACAATTACCAAAGACCTTTCAGTTGATGTTTATCACAATAATCATGGCATATGAAGCGGCGTTCCTTCCAGTCCTCACCCCTTGTATGTTGACAGCATAAACGATACTTCTGGTTTTCTCTATCAACTTCTACCTTCTTTTCTGAACAATACATAATGTTGGCAACTTCTTTTACAAGTCTGAACCTGACATCAAACGACCCATTCAACATAGGAAGAAACTAACAAAATGGACCAACAGATAACTAACTCTCTCTTTTCTCTCTCTCTCTCTCTCTCACACACACACACATATATTTATGGGACAACTATGATATATTAAATTCTATATATCAGAACAAAGTTTTTCAATATGATATATGAAATTCTATAGTGATTTTCCAAGCGTAGCTTAGATGTGGCACAAGGTCGAAAGTAGGGGCACTCAGTGAGGATCGAACTCACTACTTAGTTGTAATTTCTATATATCAGAACATTGTTTTTCAATTTTTTTCAATTTCAAAATTTACCTTGATAATGCCCCTCAGAGGACGAAACGCAGCGTCTAAGAATAATTCTTGTCTTTTTATTATATATATGTGTGTGTGTGTGTGTGTGTGATTTAAGAATAGAATACTTCAAAAGTAAAGCAGATATTTTTTATATAGTGCTCAATATTAAAAATATTAAAATAATATTAAAAATAGAGCATTAGCATTGATTAGATAAAGTTCCTACTTAAACGTAAATATCAATATTTGATAGGTTTATTTCCACTTTTTTTTTTCAATTTTTTTCCCGTCCTTTTTAATCCGTTGGAAAAAAAAAAACTGAAATGCTTCAAATTGTTTTTTTCGTAATGTTAAGGAGTGATGTGCAGGGATACAGACATTGTACATGTTGAACATTTTCAATAAAATATTGACGTAAGATTTATAAAGAAAATGATGTCAAAATTGCTACACATTTGCAGGCATGTTTCGATGCGTATCAACGCATCTCATCAGGCGATTGTAAATTACTGGCGAGTGAACGATTTATTCAGATGTTAAAGCGAAATACAGCCTCTTTTACGATAAAAAGAAAAAAGTGGGGTTATAAATTTTGCGAGCTTTACACAGATCAACCAGTCGAATATGAGCCACGTTAAATTTAAACTAAAGGAAGAAACAAAAACTAAGTACTTATTTTTCATTAATGAGTAGATTTGAAATCAATGGCAGCAACAGACTTTAAACAGGAGCGGATGTAAATTAGACAATGTCATTTCCCAAGAAAAAAATTATATATATATATAGGTTGTTTGGTAACGAATGCAGGTTTTTAAATATTATCTTTCAAATGACATATCTCAATTAAGCATAAACTTTATTGACCGGATTTAAAAACATTAGAATCTATACATTTTTGCCAGCAAGATCCAAAGTTATTTATTCCAGTAAGAAAGAATTCTGAAGTTCTAAGGGACGGAAAGTGCGACACTGAAATCCAAAGTCGCATGACAGTGAATATATGACAGTGAATGCTGGACCACACACTGTGTATGAATTTCTGGGTATTATAAAGCTAATGTCTTCAGCAACCATTTTTACCAGTGCCCATATTGCAATTTTTGCTGTTATCATTTCATGTTTTTACCAGAGCTCATATTGCATTTTTTGTTGTTATTAAAACAATGAAAGCGGAACGCAAACTGTCACAGATACTAATCAAGAACAAGGATCACTTCGCACCTTAGACGTATAGGCAGTTATCGCAGCGTTACATCAAGCTACCTCAACATATACGGTCTCCCTAAGATTCACAAAAACGGTATTCCGCTCAGGACGATTGTTAGTTGCTAAGGCTCTGTGTGCCACCCTCTGAGTCGCTTCCTTGTAGATATAATTAACCCATTGGTCGGAAAGTCTCCTTCATATGTCCGAAACTCCGCCCACTTCGCGGAAATAATCAAAGATGCTCGCATCCTATCCAACCAGATGGTGAGCTTGGATGTGGTGAGTTTATTCACCAAGGTACCCACGGAGGAGGCACTGTCAGTACTCAGATTGGCCTCTGACTCATCCCTAGAAGAACGGACCAGTATTCCAATAGATAATCTGATGGAGATGTTGACTTTCTGCACACAAACAACACACTTCGGAATGGGATCACACATATATCGACAGGATGAAGGCTTAGCAATAGGCTCGCCATTATCACCAGCAATGGCGAATATATACATCGAATACTTTGATGAAATGGCATTAGAATCTATATCTCTAAAGCCAACTATATGGTTAAGGTACGTAGATGACGCCTTCATACTCTGGCCACACCAGGAAGAGGTTCAGGCTCTACTGGACCATGTGAACTCAATAAGACCTTCGATACAGTTTACAATGGAGAAAGAAAGTAACAACACACTCCCATTACTGGATGTTCTAATATCTCGAACAGAGCATGGGTTCAAGACATCCGTATAGCGTAAACCGACATTCACCGGACAGTACCTCAATTTCAACTCCCACCATCCATACAGCGTAAAGAAAGGGATCGCCCGCTGCTTACAACACCGACCAAAATCATAAGTGGCGACCCAGACATTAAAGAATTGGTCAGTATAAGTAGTACCCTACAACGTAACAACTACCCTGGGTATATGGCAGCAGCCCCCCAAAAACTGGTATAGACGGGTACAAGAGGACAACAACACTCAGAAAACAGTCTGACTGCCTTATGTGAAGTGGTTATCAGAGAAAATACAAAGGATCTGGGGTCCATATAACATCAGGACAACCTTCAAAAGCTTGACGACACTTCGCAGATATCTCTCCCGAGTAAGACCCCCCATAGATGAGAACATGTCTAAAACATGTGTACGCTATCCCGTGCAGCTGCAGAAAGAAAGAGGAGACAGGCCGTCCCCTTAAGGTAAGGCTTCAAGAACACCAGAAAGCTATAACACGAGGGGAAGTGGAAAAATCAAGCGTGGCTGACCATATATGGAGAGAGAAGGGAGATCATCGCCCTCTGTGGGATCAGGTTGAGATCCTAGACAAAGAACACCAAACTCGTAAACTTAAGGAATCAACACAAAAGCTAGGCCACAAAAATCTCCTGAGCCGACCAAGCATAGAAATGAATACAATATGGGAACCAGTAATAAGAAAAAGTGATAATAACAACAAAAATTGCAATATGAACTCTGGTAAAAACACGAAATGATAACAGCAAAAATTGCAATATGAGCACCGGTAAAAATGGTTGCAGAAGACACTAGGTTTATAATACCCAGAAATTTGTACACAGATGTCCTCAAGGACACATGGCACAGTAGCGTTAGTTAGATCCAGTGTCAGGACCCA